ACTTCATTCATCTTAGCCTGTTCTCTTGATAATTCTGCACCTGAAACTTTTCATGTTCATTGAATCGTATCAGTTGGAATTTATCTGAAGCCCTTATCAATAATTATCAGATTTCTTATCACCCATCTACATCACATATGTTAAATGCATTCATTCCAATGATATATGCATATCATAAACTCGTTCAATTCATCGTTCATCTATCTCCGCATGACGAATCGCTGCGATGAATTTGTTGTCAAGTGGGAATTTTAATTTATTGCTGATAGAATATAGAAAGTGATAGGTACGTGGTCATCGTTTTACATCATTTTGAAGCGATTATCTGGTATAATTACCACTGCTTTTTCATCATGCTCATAGAGAATGAAGGCAATTCTGGTAATATTTGTAATGCTGGTAGTGCTAGTAATTATAAGGAATCTGATAATTAAGGAATGTGATAAGGAATCTGATAATTAAGGAATGTGATAAGGAGTCTGATAATTACTGATAAGAGGGGCTTCAGATAACTTTCAGCAAATGCGATTCATTACTGAAGAATACAAATTATGAGCAGTAGACCAACCGAGTGCCTTGCGGCATCTAAAATAATACGCATGTGGTAAGTGAAAGGCAGTAATCTGCATAGGTAGTTTACACATGTTCTGTTGTTTTAGAGGTTGCTTTTATGACAGCAAAGGAATCCAATAAAATTCGCCTTCCGAATTCTGTAAGAGATTTTTCATGTATCCTAATTCAAGAATCATTCTTCCCCTCAAATTTTCCATAATCTGGCACCATATACTTGTAGGATCAAGTCAACGCTATATTGTTATATCTATATTAAGACCATTTTTCATTGCATTTCTAACTTTATCACTCATTAAACATTCTTATGAAAATTCCAAAAATTCAAAACTTCATTTTCGCGAAAAAACAGAAANTTCTAACTTTATCACTCATTAAACATTCTTATGAAAATTCCAAAAATTCAAAACTTCATTTTCGCGAAAAAACAGAAAACTGAATTTTCATAACGTGCTACATTTGAAGCAGCATTTGAATTTATCAAATAGCTAGTGAACTTTTGCTTGCTTCGTTTCGTATCACCTATAATTTGGTAGCAGAAGAATGAAATTGCACCACCAAATCACATCTTAGAATAATGATCGAACTGAATCAAAGCCGTAATATACCCAGTAAGGCATTCACTCAGTCGGTTGTTCTACTGCTCATAATTTGTATTCTTCAACAATGATCGATGTTATAATGGCAATAATAATAATAAGAATATTATGCGACAATTTCTGTTGACCTTGACAATATACTATCGACTTCGCAAATCACATCTCAATTGGTGATGAAAAAGGAAGGAAGGAAGGTTCACGATCATTTGGTGATTTTCGATGGAGTAATTTGTGAAGAAATGAACGAATGCATGTAAATGACATGACTAAATTTGAATTTCTTGAGTATTCTTTGCTCATCGTGCTCGTTGAATTACTTCAGTGTTCAATTGAAACTTCACCTGACAATGAGTGTTCTCAAAGAATCATAAGTACTCAGCAAGATGAGTACATTACGAACGCTTGAAATGATCATCCAATTATCCAAACATAACAGTAATTTAATTGAAAAATTTCCATCTTTCGGTCGAAAGCTCAATGAAAATTTGACCTACCAGATGATAACATAGCAGAAAATAATCGAGAAAATGCGCATGTGAATACAGCTCATGCAAGTGATTTCCTATGAGATTTTTTGTTTCTTCAAAAAAATTTGTTTCCTCCAATAACCTGTAAATATTCAACAGTTATTGCAGCATTCAATTTCGTAACTCTTCAAACAGTTTTCAATTTAATCACAAGTTCACGGTCTGTTGACTTAAATCATTTGTTGAGGTTAAGAGGTTTACTAGATTTCAAAAAATTTGCCATCCACGTATGACATAATTCTATGCCATTTGATAAGAGAATATGCATACCGACTTAAATTATCGCCTTCGAACTGACCTTGTGAAGTTTTATATTTCACACTTCATTAAGAAATCAACATTTAATGAATGAATTGATTAATTCCTCGTTTAATTACGCTCATGATAAACAATTATCACTGACTTTGCACAGACAAACAAACAAATGCATTAATGAATGTGTTGCGGAAGGAAATGTGAGACATAAACTGATATTATATATTGATTAACGATATTAAAATTTCGTAAAGATAGATGATTCCCAACGCTGGTATCGTTAGCTGCGCGGAAAGAAGGGTGTCAAGGGCAACGCTGGTATCGTTAGCTGCGCGGAAAGAAGGGTGTCAAGGGAGGAAGAATGTGATATTAGTGATATTGGTGATAACAGAGAGGCATAAACTCGTTATGAGTTGGATTTGCTGGTTAAATAAATACATTATGAAAGGAATCATTCTGTGATACGTTGATCAAAAAATACATCATTCTCTGGAAAAGAACCTTATTTAAGGATGAGGAAGCTGGGAAGGATAACTTTGAGTGATTGCAGTAAAGTTGTATTTAAACTGTGACAGATCGCGCTTGTTATGTAAACTGTACACTATATGTGAACTGCACACGATTGCATTTTTGTATAGGTACCATGAAAATTAGTTTCTAAACCTCGAGTGGGGTTCACTCCATTTATGATCTAGCGATGCCAGGGTAACAGCTGAGCAGTCGCCATCCATTTGGTTAGGGGCATTTGGAAAGCATTGCTTCGCATTGTTCAGAAATCGCTCATCTATTAAATAATGTTTGATAACTGCAAAAATCGCTTGTTAACAATATTTGCAAATCTATGAGATTATTTAAGAATTGTATTGTGAGATTTCAATTTCTCTATCTCACAATCAGATGGAGAAATTGCAATCTGGTAAAGCAATTTTGTTTTTTTCAATTCAATGAATTTTCATGCTCTTAATTTGATAATCTTCAGATACTTCGTCCGTATGGATTCGTTCTGGACAACCGCTCAATGTCACATGGTTCTCGTCTGCCCCCTACCATGTAAATTTTTTTAGCAGTTTTTGCCATTCACAATTGAAATTCTATTCCGAATCAATCATTTCGTGAAGATTCGCATTGTTTTAAATAACCCAACTGAATACCCAATAACGAATCGCTTCAGTTTTGAGTTGAGTTCAATCAATTCTTTAAAAAAGAACATTCAGGAGGGGTATCTTAGAGGAACTATATTAATGAATGGTTTGATAATTGAAGCGATCCAAAAAGCAATGTTGATTGGGTATTTTGGAAATTTTGGAAATAGAGATGGACAGTCATGACGTTTTGAATGGAATGTTTCGTGAGTCAGTTGATTTTGCATTGTTCGAAAATGACAGAATTACAAAATGTCCATAAATATGTGAAAGTGGGTGCATTCCCAGGAAATGCAATGCTGAACACAACAGATAACAATCTGTTGAGTTTGACTAATCGTTGACGTTTGAATTTCTTTGAGCCATGAATTTTTGCGTTAATTGTCTACAACATTTGTTCAAATAACCTGTTGAAACGAGCTGGTAATCGAGTTCGCGAAATATTTATTTAATTGTTTATTCGCTCAAAAACTTGTGCTCAATTGCGTAATTTGAGTCATTTCAATTGCGCTTTCTCTTTGTAAGATCATCAATAAATTCGTGATAACGACGATGATGAAATTTAAGGCAGTCGATCCATGTCACATCAGTGATTTTATGCGTTTAATCATTCGGAGCAAATTTTTACAATGAGCTTTTTTGAGATTGAAATCTTTTTTGGACTCTTCGATGCGAATTTTTACGAGAATATTTGATGAGTTGTCATAGTTTGATGAACCTAAAGAATCAATGGCAACTTTTTGATGCGATAATGTGAAAGTGAAACAAACGCATCATGAATTGTCAGTAATAAAATAAGGAATATGTAATAACGACTTCTTTTATTGTCTTCTAAATGAACTTGTTTTGACCATCTTAAACTTCGCTGCCTTCGTCATATTATTTCAAAAATTTATTATTTAATTCCGAATGTCAGGTGAACAAGCTGAAGCACTAAAAAAATGATTAATCATAGGAGATCTCGTTCAAATTTATGATCGATTACATGAGAGTGTAACAAACTGTTTTTTCAACAACTCTTTGGGTGTGCGTTTGTTTGTGCAAATAGATGTCAAAATTGATATATTTGCAGAAATAACCAATCGTTTCAGTTTTAAATTGAGTGCAATCAATTCTTAAAAAAAGAGCGTTCTGAAGGGGGTATCTTAGAGGAACTATAGTAATGAATTGTTTGATAATTTAAGCGATTAAGAAAGTTGGGATTTTTTGGAAATATGGATAGACATTCATGAGGTGTTGAATGAAAAGTTTCGTGAGCGATTTGATTTTGCATTGAATGTTTTTGCGTATTTCAGGGTGGCTATAGAATCGAACTGCTGGATGAAACCGATGAAACGATCGCACTGCTCACGGATGGAACAAATTTTGTGGGTGTGAATGATACGTCGTAAGTCTTTATCATCATCCAGAATGCATTTCATGCTATAGTTTGCCTATTAGGTTCGCGTGTAAGAACAGAGTGATATTTGTCGAGTAGTCACTGAAACAATGTGCTGCACGGAAGCGCCAGCATTGTGGCCAGCAACGTTACAAACGTTTGATAACCTGGCCAATCC